GCCGCACGCGGGGTGCCGTGGCTGGGCCCTTAGCGCGCAAGGGAGCGCAACGCATCAAGAGGGGGACGCAATGATGGATGGCCGCGCGCCTGCTGGCCCAACACCGCTACTGCTGCAATGGCACCTACGCACACCGGCTGCGCGATGTCGTTTTCCGGACTACCCGGGAAGTGCGGCGAGACGGGTTTGCGTCAACAGCTTCGCCTGCGCCAGCTGGTGCCGCCAAGGCTTTGCCCTGCGACCGTGAGCGACATCTTCAATAAGTGGACCACGGACCGGCGCATGCGCAAGATGCGAATACACCAACGCGCGTGCACATTGGGACGCTTGGCTCCACCAGCTATGTCCGGACGTCATCAGCGGTGGTCCACCACACCGACCGCGACACGATGCTGCAGCGCACCTGGCGCGACGAGTACCACGAAGACTTCGTGGACATTTGTTTTTGTTTCTCCCCCAGTTTGGGCGGCGACCCAAATCGATGTCGAATCTCACCGGGAGGCCCGCCGGTCGGTTCACAAAAACGCCGTCACATATTCGTCACATATGTACCCACGTCTTTGAGCGTAGTGTTGCCCACTTTCGTATGACACTCCGCTTACTTGTTACCGTTACACTTTCCCATAGATTACACGTCGTCCATTCCCATCGCGACGCAGCAGCACAGTTCCAGCATATGTGTGTTGATGATTTTCTTGGGGTGGAAATGTGGCCCGATATATTCAAATTGTCAGGGACGTAAGAAAAGCTTTTTGTCCCCAAACGCAGGGATTTCTCTCCGACGAGATCCCAGGGTACTCTTTGAGCAACATGGCAACCACCACGATGTCGGCGAGCGGTTCTAGTCCCAGCGGCGCCACGACGCGGAGCAGCACGACCACGACAGTTCGGAGGTCCGACGGCCACCACAAGTTCGACGGGCGGCTCTGGTCAGTTTGCTGCTGGTGGTCGTTGTTGGCCTTTCTTTGTGCTGCCGTGGCGCGCCGATTCCAGAGGCTTGTGACCAGGAGCGTGGCCAGCCCGAGATATGCCATGTCGTGGCGTTGGTGCACGATTGCCTTGCAACGTATACGGCAGTGTGATGATCGTTCTTACGGTGCGTCTTATGAGGGTATGTCGGGCGCAGCATCGTCCAGAAATTGTTGTGTCATGGCACGTGGAAGATAGCCCCAGGATAAGGTCAGATTTGTGCTTATGTTTGTTTGTGTTTGAATGAAGACCTTATTGTTTTGCAAATATGTCAAGCGCCAAGCGTGTAGGGAGACGGGGAGAGGTGGAGAGGTGAATCTCTCCCGAAACGGTAAAGAAGGAGGCTCGAGTGATGAAGTCCGAAACAGTATACGCCCAAAGGGTTGGTGTGATAAGCACGTTGCCCGAAAGCTTGAAAGACAGTTTGATGTGTTGCGTGTCTCCACCAGCTCATCTTGAAATTACGCAGCTGAGGTTGGGGCAACCGTCAACGCGAATGCCAGGATCAGCATCATCAGGCCCAGGAGCAACCACAAGTGTTTTCACTGATCTTTCGATAACGGAGTCTTTTGGCAGCTCCTTTGAGCCACAGATTGGGCCCTGTGGAGGCCATCTTTTGAGCCCTCGGGGGGCCCTTTTTGATTTCGTGGGGCGCAATCAAGGCCGTCTTGGGGCCATGTTGGACCCAGATCGGGGCTACCTTGGGCGATCTCGGAACCACTTCGACACATCAAGGGCGCATCGGCAGCGAAAAGGCGATACGTCAACAGCAACACTGTTTCACGAGGGTGCTCGAAGGAGCTTGGGATCGCGTGGGGGTCTTTGGGGGTCTCCGTGGCCTCTAGGAACCGTCTTGGGACGGTCACGTGCCCTTCTTGGAGGCATGATGTGCGCTACCATGGGCCACTGTGGGCTGCGATCAGGTGGGGCTATCTGGGCCCTCTTGGAGCTATCTCGGACGCCCTAACGCCTCGCGAACTCCCCTCCCAACCCCTTCTTCAGACCAAGGGAAAGCGGAGAGAGGAAGAGATGAATTTTCCCCGAAGGGGAAAGACATGCAAATTGTGAATTACTTAAACCATACACGCCCGAAGGGGTGATGCGATTGGTTGTGTTGGCGGAGCTGGTGTGTTGCGGATTCGTTTGTATTGCCAATGCGTTCGTTGGGCACGGCCGCATACGTGCTGACAACTTCTGGAGAAGGCATCATAATGATCGCGCAGGCTGGTCATTTTGAGTCAATGAGGTGAGCAACATGCTCGTCTTCTGATTTATGGTCCGAGCGTTGGGTGACCGACATTCCGTGTTGATCATTTGCCCATGCGTTTGCGGTGTTCAGGTGGATTCAACACATGGTGCAATATACGCGAATCGTACGCGATACCATATTTGTCCATCGTATGCGAGAGGATGATTGGTATACGTTAACTCCAGTCATGTCCATGCGTATCGAGGATCATGTTCAATGATTCGGCCTTCTTAGTTGGACTCGTCACGCACGTTCTCCCACTCCCTTTGTCATTTGCCTGAGGCAAGGACTGTCGATGGGAATTACGAGGCCTTGATGGACCCAGAGCGAGCGCAGGAACGAAAGCGCATGGCAGATGAGCGCCTGCATGGCCGGGGGGGAGGGGGCGGGTAGAATGCCTTTGTCACCAGATGGGGAGACGCGAGGCAGGGAACCGTTGAGCCGTGAAGCAGCCAGGGAAGATGTCGAAGGCCGCGGCAGGCGATGGAGGGGCAGGGAGATCGAAAAGAGGGGCGGGGGAGAGGGGGACAAGGGGGAGGAGGACGCAGGGGTGGAGGAGGAGGAGGAGGAGGAGGAGGAGGAGGAGGAGGAGGAGGAGAGGGAGTGGTGAAGGCCAGCAGACAGCCATAGCCTGATGAAGAAGAGGCTCAATCCTGCATGAGGGGTAGGTCGGTCAGCCTCGTCTGCATTAGCCGAAGTTGGTGAAGGTCCGCGGTGCAACTGGTTCTGACTAACTATGCTCACGGGGTGACGGTGACGCGTTAGCATGTTTCTATGAAAGGAGTGTGATCTTGATCGCGTCGCGCGGACGTGCAGGAGGAGGAAGAGGAGGGGAAGGAGGAGGGATGGAAGAAGGAGGATGGAGGAAGAGGAGGAGGAGGGGGATGAGCAGGAGGGGGAGGAAAAGAAGATACGGAGGAGGAGGAGGAGGAGGAGGCCGAGCACGGCAAACAATGATCTGCCGTCAGTGTTGCCACGACGCGAGCACGTCTTGCAGCGCAAGGGCAAACGCAGGGGCGGTCGTTTCGGCTGCGTTGTAGTCGCCGAGGGGCAACCAAACTACAAGCATCAACTGCCGGAGGTCCGCGCGGTTTTCTCGGATCGGCGCTGTAGCTCCCTCCCCGGTGAGCGGAGCCACCCGTGGCCAGGCGTGGTGCCCTCTGCCAGGCGCCGTTTTCGGAGGCCGGCTGGAAGGATGGACGCGTTGGCGCCTGTTGACGGTCACGCCGCGCGTTTCTACTCCTGGCCTGTACTGCCCGCCGGGGCGTGGGAGTGCGCGACACATATTTTGGAATCAGTATCTCTCAACCGATCCCTATCCCCATCCCGATCCCCACCATCCAACCACCTCAGGAAGCCCGAAGGGAAGATAGTATGTATGTATACACATATATACATATCCGTAAGGGCTTCGCCCCCTGCCGCTGGCCCCCTCTCTATCTTAATGGGATATAACAGACTCGCGTCGGTGCGTCTCGGCGCTGCCTTGGCGCATCTGGCAGGCGGGGGCGGATAGGAATCATCAGCACATATTCAAAAGTTGGTGTTATCGAAGACGACCAAGGAGAATCACCGCCACCCCCTGCCTTGTTGGAAACGCCTATGTGGCCGAACGTTGTGGCTAGAGGCCTGCCAAGCTATCGGACCACGTGTTCCCCGAATCGGTTTGGAAAGCGTTCGGGGAACACGGTGGGAGGAGGAAGGAGAGGAGAGGGAGGAAGAAGGAGAAGGGAGGAGGAGGCCTCTTGGGATCCGATTGGGCTACTCTCGGGATTGGTGGGCCATCGTTGCGGTCTTGGAGGCATCTTGGGGCTGTGTTGGAAGCGATGTTGGGGCTACGTTCGAGCTTCTTGGGGCCACCTTGATCATCTTGGACGCATCTTGGAGGCCTCATTGGGGCCTGCTTGGGCCTTTGGGGGCTTCTTGGGAGTCTCTTTGGCAGTCTTAGGGCGTTCCTGGCTTGTCTGACGCCGTCGGAAGCCGTCATGGGGGCATGTCTGGGTCGCCTTGGGGTCCTCTCAGGGCCGTCTTTGGGGCCATTTTGGGCGTTTTGGACGCTTCTTGGGCCGTTTTGGGGCCCTCTCGTGGCCGTCTTGGGGGATTTTTGGGCAGTCACGGGGCCATCTTGGAAGCCCCGTGGGCAATCTTGAGGCGATCTTGGGGGCCTTTTGGGCCGTCTTGAGCCGTCGGAATGCCGAGAAGAAGCAAATGCCAAAATCTTTCAAAACCCGAAGGGCAATCAATGATGTTGGTCTCTTCGGGCCATCCTGGACGACCTCTTGGAGGCCGCGTTGGCGATCTTGGGGCGATCTTGGAGGCCTCTTGGGCCGTCTTAGGCCGTCTTCGATGCATCTTGGGCCGTCTTGGAGGCATCTTGGGGCCATCTTAGCCGTCTTGGAGGCTACCTTAGAGCCATCTTAGCCGTCTTAGCCGTTTTGAAGGCCTCTTGGGGGCCTCCTGGGGCCGTCTTGTTTGTTTTGTGCCGTCATGGGGCCATCTTGAAGGCTTCGTGGGCGATCTTGGGGCGATCTTGGGGGCCTCTTGGGCCGTCTTCAGCCGTCTGAATGCCGAGAAGAAACAAATCCCAAAATCTTTCAAAAACCTTAGGAAAATCAATGATGTTGGTCTCTTCGGGCTCTCCTGGAGGACCTCTTGGAGGCCTCTTGGGCCGTCTTGGAGACCTCTTGGGGGCCTCTTGGGCCGTCTTGGGCAACATTGAGGCCATCTTAGGCCGTCTTGGAGGCCTCTTGGGTCGTTTTGGGGCCCTCTTGGGACCGTCTTGGGGGCCTTTCGGGCCGTCATGGGGCCATTTTGGAGGCCTCTTGGGCGATCTTGGGGGCCTCTTGCGCCGTCTTGAACCGTCGGAATGCCGAGAAGAAACACATGCCAAAATCTTTCAAAAACCTTAGGAAAATCAATGATGTTGGTCTCTTCGGGCTCTCCTGGAGGACCTCTTGGAGGCCTCTTGGGCCGTCTTGGAGACCTCTTGGGGGCCTCTTGGGCCGTCTTGGGCAACATTGAGGCCATCTTAGGCCGTCTTGGAGGCATCTTGGGCTGTCCTGGAGGCATCTTGGGGTCATCTTAGCCGTCTTGGAGGCGATCGTGGCCGTGTTGGAGGCCTCTTGGGGCCCTATTGGGTCCGTCTTCGGGGCCCTTGTTCCACCAAGGGGCCCTCTTGGAGGCCTCTTGGGCGATCTTGGGGCGATCTTGGGGGCCTCTTGTTCCGTCTTGAACCGTCAGAATGCCGAGAAGATGCAAATGCCCAAATCCTTCAAAATATAAGAAAATCAATGATTTGGGCCTCTTCGGACCGTCCTGGAGGACCTTTTGGAGACCTCTTGGGTCGTGTAGGGCCGTGCTGGAGACTTCTTGGGCGAACTTGGAGATATCTTGGACTCTTGGACCGTCATGAGGCCGTCTTGGACCATGTTGGGCGGACTTGGAGGCCATCTTGGACCATCTTGGAGGCCATCTTGGGCTAACGTGGCCATCTTGGAGGCCATCTTGAGCTGTCTTGGAGGATTTTTTTCCGGATTGCGTTCCTTCCCGGGTGGCCGGCGGGATGCGCCGAAGCCCCAGGGGGAGCTGTTGTGGAAAAGAACCAAAGCCAAAACCGAGAGGGTTCAGCACGCCAGGCACCCCTCTTGCAAGCAACAGTGGGCGGCGGGTCGAAGACGCCTACGGCGAATCACCGCCGCCCCGTTCCTTTGTGGAAACGCCTATGTGGCCGAACGTTGTGACCAGAGGCCTGCCAAGCTATCGGACCATGTGTTCCTCGAATCGGTTTGGAAACCGTTCGGGGAACACGGTGGGGGAGGAGGAAGGAGAGGAGAGGGAGAAAGAATGAGGAGGCCTCTTGGGGCCCTCTTGTGGCCTCCTGGGAGCTTGCTGGGGGCCTCTTGGAGGCCTCTTTTGGGCCTCCTTGGGTCTGCTGGGGGCCTTTGGGGGCTTCTTGGGGGTCTTTTTGGCAGTCTTAGGGCGCTCCTGGCTTGTCTGACGCCGACGGACGCCGTCATGGGGGCCTGTCTGGGTCGTCTTGGGGCCCTCTTGGGGCACTTCAGGGCCGTCTTCGAGGCCATCTGAGGGCGTCTTGGACACCTCTTGGGCCGTCTTGGGGCCCTCTTGAGGCCGTCTTGGGGACTTTCTGGGCCGTCATGGGGCCATGTTGGAGGCTTCATGGGCGATCTTGGGGCGATCTTGGGGGCCTCTTAGGCCGTCTTGAGCCGTCGGAATGCCGAGAAGAAACAAATGCCAAATCCTTCTGGGCCTCTAGTGGCCGTCCTGGAGGCCTCTTGGGCCGTCATAGGGTCATGTCGGAGGCCTCGTGGGCGATCTTGGGGCGATCTCGGGGGCCTCTTGGGCCGTTTTGAGGCGTCGGAGTGCCGATATCCTTCAAAAACCTTAGGACCTTCTATCATGTTGGTCTCTTCGGGCCCTCCTGGACGACCTCTTGGAGGCCTCATGGGCCGTCTTGGGCGCCTCTTGGGGGCCTCTTGGGCGGTCCTGGGCAATATTTGCACCATCTTAGGCCGTCTTGGAGGCATCTTGGGCTGTCCTGGAGGCATCTTGGGGTCATCTTTCCCGTCTTGTAGGCTATCGTGGTCGCCTTGGAGGCCTCTTTGGGCCATCTTGGGGCCGTCTTGGGGGCCCTTGTTCCACCAAGGGGCCCTCTTGGAGGCCTCTTGGGCGATCTTGGGGCGATCTCAGGGGCCTCTTGAGCCGTCGTGAGCCGTCGGAATGCCTCGAAGAAGCAAATGCCCAAATCGTTCAAAAACATAAGGGAAATCAATGATTTTGGCCTCTTCGGACCCTTCTGGAGGGCCTCTTGGAGGCTTCTTGGGTCGTGTAGGGGCCGTCTTGGAGGCTTCTCGGGCGACCTTGGAGGTATCTTTGACTTTCTTGGGCCGTCTTGGAGGCCGTCTTGGACCATCTTGGGCGGACTTGGAGGCCATCTTGGACCATCTTGGAGGCCATCTTGGGCCAACGTGGCCATCTTGGAGGCCATCTTCAGCTGTCTTGGAGGATTGTTTTCCGAATTGAGGTCCTTGGCAATCTTTCCGGTTGGCCGGCGGAACTCGCCGGAGGCCCAGGGGGAGTTCTTGCGGAAAAGAACCAAAACCAAAACCGAGAGGGTTCAGCACGCCAGGCACCCCTCTTGCAAGCAACAGGGGGCGGCGGATCGAAGACGCCTACGGCGAATCACCGCTGCCCCCTGCCTTTGTGGAAGCGCCTATTTGGCCGAACGTTGAGGCCAGACCTGCCAAGCTATCGGACCATGTGTTCCTCGAATCGGTTTGGAAAGTCTTCGGGGAACACGTGGGCATCTTGAAGTTCATCTTGGCCGCCTGGAGGCCATTTTGACCTTTTCGG